GTCTCTAATTATCAATTAAAATACGTTTCGGTGTTTTCCACCATCATCAGTTTTTATGTGTAGCGTTGTTGCTACTTTAAGCCTTGGCATATATTTTTTTTGCTATTCAAAAATATATGCCAAGGCTTAAAGTAGCAACAACGCTACACATAAAAACTGATGATGGTGGAAAACACCGAAACGTATTTTAATTGATAATTAGAGACAATAAATGACTGAAGCCCAGGAATTGATTTTGATTTGGAGTCTGTATAATTCCATGGTTACCGGAGTTTTAAATAATTACGAATCAACAAGTATTTGCGCAATGTTAATTAGGCAGATTACCTTGAAAAACATTGCTGCCGTATTTCTGATATAGTTTTTTGCAATTTTCTCAGTTTTTAATAACAATTAATTTATTTTACTATTTTTTCTGTACTCCTATAACAGCGCCAGACAACACCTCCAGAGGAATGACGCCAATTTTGAATCACCCTGTATATAGAAAATCACTGATTTAAACCTTATGGTTTTCATTTACTTTTTTTACATTCTGGGGTAGCAATAAAAATCGTTATGTTAACTATGAATTTTGTTTGCTCTAATTCAAGGCTACTTTTATTTGTGGCTATTTATGATGTTTTAAACGTAATATCAAGTAAGCGGCTAAAACAAATCTAAGCATTACTTAGTTTTCTGAAGTCAGAGAAAAATTTTATCGACCTGTCTAAAAATAAATAGGATATTCCATGCAAAACAAAGTGGCTTAATGTTAAAATTTGACATTTACGTCTGTCATTTTTAAATTTTAATTTCAGATTTTGATTTAATTCGGTTGCTTTTTGCGCAAATCAGCAAAGGTAGCACACGTTCCGTTTTATTCATGGATATTCACATGCATCCGCATAGGTTTCCATTGTTCTATCCGATTGTCTCATGCATATCACGGCTTGGTTGATCTTAAAGCCTATGGAAATACCACAGAACATTCTTGGATTACACAGAGCAACATCTCAGCCAGCTGTTTCAACCTTGTTTTGATCCTGTTTTGTTCCGACTTCCACAGATCTTCCGTTCACGTCCTGAATGGCATCCTTGAAAATTTCCTGAATTGGTCGCCCATTATGAAATTAGCAAACCATCCGGTAACAGTCTATGGCAAGAGCCCAAGGAGAGCTCACTTGTTACACCTACCGGCCGCCCGCGTCCGCCGCCCCGCACGGCTCCAAACCGCCCACCCAAACATATTTATTATGATTGCGTAAAATTGGCCGCGCGCAACCCCATTACACCCCGTGCACCAGAAAAGGAGGAAGCACACAGGTGGGAGCGAGATCCGGAGAGAATTTGCGACCGAGGGCTGCTGGATCTCGGAGGTTCTCTCAGTTGCGGCCTTCTTGATCTCGTATTGTGACGTAACCGGACGGCCGTACCGAGCGAGACAGTTTGGCGGAGCGCGGCATACGCCGACGTTTTTCTTGAGTGACAGAAACTGCCGATTTTTGAGACAGTTGCGGAATTTTTTTCTGGGGAAAAACTTGTGTGAAACTTTACAACACAGTGTTGCCATTTGATCATTTATTCAATGTTAGTAAATATGCCCATTTTTGTGCTGAGTGGCAGAAATAAGTGGGTGCAATGCTTTTAAACACAGTTTGAGGAGCGACGATTTTCGAAGGTACCTGGTTGCAAAAATTATTAAGGGTATTTTTTTACCTGAAAACAGATAAAACACCACCCGTTTCCTATATATGCTCAGTTCCGATACTGCGGAACTGTAGCTAGAGTGCTGAGATATATTGACCTCAGCTTAGTACACACATTGCACTCAAGGGGAGCATTGCTCGAATTGCTTTAGTGCTATTCATTCTCTTCCACCGCCTCCTACATGCAGTTTGCCACTCAAGTGGGTTTGATCATGCTCTGAAAAGGCTCAGAATATTTTTTTACAGGCAGGAAACATTTACTTTAATAGAAACATTGAAGTGTCACCTAAAGAAGCTTATAATGAAATTTCCTTCTATAAAATGTTAATTGTGTACTTTGCGTCATGAATAGCAAAATTGTCTTTAAAATTTTTGATTCCTATGAGACTCAGATCTGTTTTTTTGAAAAATATGTTTTGTTTCTGTCAATTTCTAACTGCCAATCATTAATGCTTAGAGAAAAACTCTTATGCTGAAGAGTCAAAACACGCAATTCCTGATGGACTATTCCAAGTGTTGATCACTTCAGAGCTTATTTTGGCTGAATTTTGCTTGAACATTTACCTATCATTTTCACTAAGTATTAGGTTTCTTTACAAATTTTATTCTTCAGTAAGTACACAACTGGTGTTCAGTTGTAAATTTCTGAAAACTAAATGGTTTTTTCTTGTATATGTACAAACCTCTTAGAGTAAAGTTAAATAATACAAGTTAAACCAGCGAAAATATCGTTAACATGTTGTTCCATAGTTTGTTTTCATAAAGCTTTCACACGATTCGCGGTCTTAACTCATAATAATTTGTCTTCGTATTTCGTATACGAATATCGTATTTTATATTTATTAAAATGTTTTTGAAATATGTTTAGTGAACAAGTATGCTTAAAGTTGTTCTATATAAGTGTTTGTATTAATATCAAAACTCTACTACAAAACAATACTAATTTTTTTAACTACTCATTCACGCTTTGCAACAAGGGAATTTTTTATCATCTTTTCATTTTGTATTCTGCAAGTAAGTGAAGATATTGAAGAATTGGAGCTACTTCGGTCCGGCTTCATACTCTGCGATTTGCGAAGTAATTTAAGAATTACCTAGTTTTCGTTTTATAGTGTCTTTCTCCAATATACATTGGGTGAACCAAAGAAAGCTGTTCTATTTCTGAGAATTTTCTTATGTAACATAAACCTGTTTTGCAAAATTTTACGTATAAATAGTTGTTCTATAAAAGTGAGAAAACCAACTTTTATGAATTCGGTAGTCTATCGTAATGTATCTTAGGATATTTGTTTGCTTTGGAACTTGGAACAGATTATAAGTAGATCGATTTTCGCGGATTCATTACCTTCAACAAGTAGGTGAAGATAATTAACTTGCTTACTATCTTTCAGGGTAAGATAATATTGATCCGTGTTCTTGAAATTTATTCATTTGGCATGTAACAAACGATCCAACCTTGTTTACTTACGCTTCAGAATTCTTTAAGTTATTAAAATGATGGACCTTTTGCCTGAGGCAGATCTAGGGATTAACGTTAGATTATTTATTAAATTCGTGCGCCATTCCGATTTGTTTAGCTACCGTTGTTCTACTGATGAATTAGTATTAGAACTGTGTAAAACATAAAAAGCCACATTTCTTATGAAATATTTTTGTCGTTTAAACTTGAAGCTTTTTGAGAAGTTGTAGGTCTAAAATCGCACAATGCCCTTTAAATAGTTTCTAGTATTCTAGATTTCGTAAAACTCTTATACTTATATCTAATAGCGATTATTTATAACATCTACCAGTTGAAGTCAGCTCAACAAAAAGGTGCCGGATTGAGATGGAAAAGAACAAGAAAATATGTTTATCTAATTAAATAAAGTGTTTAAAAAATAATTCACTTGTGGACGCATGTATAAATAACAAAATATTAAACAAAAAACATTTTAATGTTTTTATGTGAAGTATGTTCCGAAAAGTTTCCCTGAATGAAAAAAGATCGAAATAACTTTCTATAAATTTTTTCTCAATCTATCAATAAAATCATAAATTACAGCGGATTTCTTTAAGAGCCTGAAAAAATATAAGAAATAATTCAAAATTCGATTCATGATTGTTTTAATTGGCCAGGTTTGTACTGTTGTCTTTAGACTAAAAAACTAGCATGAAAATATGTATATTTTCACTTAAAATTATTAGTGTGTTCTTAGATATTCTATATATTAATCCGAAGTGTTTACTTTTTCCAATTTATTTCGGCTTTCTTACAATAATATGAGGATTTTCTTGATATTTACGTGCCTAGCACTGGCTCGTAGAAGTAAATCTTTAGATAAAACTTTTTTTCAACGAATTTATTTAGTTTTTGTGTAATTTTATTACATACAGACTGCCACAAAAAACTGGCTCAGAATATAAGTTTCGTTTTATATCGAATCAGACCTATGAGTCTGCATGCATTCAAATCTGGTAATCGCGAAGCCCGTTTTCAATATCTTCTATTTTGGAGAATATTTTTGCCTTCTCTAAAGGAGCTGCAAAAAAAATAATTCATTATGTTGCGATTGACAATAGAAATTATAAAAGCAAATTTTTGACCAAGTTGGAATTGAATTGTCCATCCAGACCATGTCCAGTTCTTCTATGAAACCATTTGATATCCACTGCAACACTTTGCTGCTCGGTGGACATTGATTGGCAGTAGAGAAACTAATTGGTTCGTCGATTTTTAATTATTGAACGCCTAGAAATGTGATTAAAATTCAAAAATGATTTGCCAGACCGATCTTGATGGACTTAAGCCACTTCAATTTTGACCCAAAACTGACAATCATCATTAGTTACCATAATGAAAATAAAAAATGTACCGGGAAAAAGTGTCCATTATTAACCAGGTTCCCGGTATCTATAATTCACACAAATTCTATCCGACCTGGAATTAAACCTGAATTAATGATAACCTTTACTGGAACGGTCTACTCTGGATGTCACCCCTGGCGATCTTTAATTAGTTCGACGATGCAACGGTGCAACGAGCCCGTCAACTTTATCTTTTATTCAAAGCTAGTTCAAAAGTGGGGTATTACGGTTAGTTTAGATGATAATTGCGGGTAATTTTACTGCAAATGGATTTTTTTGATGGTGTTCCTCGAGTCCATTTAAAACTAAAATTAAGCCGTAAATTAGAGCGTTTATTAGTTTTAGTCAAAGTGTTCCAATGAAACTGCAGGTACATGTGGTCGGATGTTTATCACATAAACACCGATTCCCTTGTGATTTCCATGCAACTTGGTTTGTTTTATTCGAGTAAATACTCATATGATTATGTTTTCCTTTCATTGCATGATTTAATGTTGTTATCCATATTATAGGTACTTACAGGTCTCCAGCATCAGTCTTAGTCTCATTTCTATAATATTATTTACTGCATTTCTGATTGATTTTGCTGGTGTTCTTGTAATATCTTTCATAGTAATTTGCTGTATTATTTGAACATGTTTGCTTCTGAGGTCCTTCACTTACAAGTACCATGATTTTGAAGCTGCTTTTCCTTAAATCCCCTCGCTCGCCAGGTCAGGACAATTTTCTTATTTTCATTGCCTTTGCACTTGTGATATTTCAAGATGCGTGCAATCCGCATTGATGTAGACATTTAGACTTGTTTGTTACTTGTCATCATTGTTTTTATTATATTCCAAGCTTCTGAGCTTTGTGTGCCTGCTATCTGCTAGTCCATGTAGCCACATCTTTTACATTTTTAATCCAAGCTTGGTTCTTCTTCTTTATTAAGTAGGTATTTCTGCCTTTATCTTTCTGTTTGCGTGCTTATATTCTTCTCTTGTTTCCACATCCTTCTTCTGTACGAAGCTTTCCTAGTTTCTTAATTTGCTTGTCTATATCCTCGTTGCACCAGAATTGTTTATTTTTCGAATTCTGCATGAATTTGGGTTTTGGGCTCCGTTATAAAGGATTGTGTTGGCATTTTTCTTCAGTTGTTCTATCGATTTGTGTTAATTTCTCCACTAATCTTTTGCAGAATAGGTATTTTGTACCAACGTGCTGTATGCTGTCGAGATTATATTTCATACTTCCTGTTTATGTGGTTTTCGTTTAATATAATATTCCCCAGAACATCAGTTCAGTCGTATAAAAGTTGTGTTAAACATAAAATGAATTGTTTTATGCCATTCGATGGTTTCAATTGAATTATTTATGCAACAATCGACTTCTTTAATTTAAAATTCCAAAATAAAGAATTGTAATATAGAGATGACTATGTAATTTAATGGCAAAGTTAAATTCAAGTTGAATAAAAATGTCTCTCTCACAGCAAATCCTCTATATCGTTCATTTTGCGAATATGGCCCGCAAAAAATGCTCTGAACATGAGCTTAACAATCCGTAAAACCCCCTATGAAATCCCGCAACTTGACAATTCTAAATCGTATATCGAGTTCACCTCGAATCCGAGAAAAAAACGTTTAAGTGCACTTTGGAGCAATTTTCACTCGATACAAGAAAAGTTCCAACTTTTTACTGCCTTTTAAGCAAATCGCCCTACGATATAGCCGTTTTAGTAAAAGGCGATTTGACTATTTCCATTTTGCACACTAAAAGGCAATTGAATGACTGCGTTTTAATAATTTCGGAAAAAATATAGAAAACAAAAGAAAACTTTTTTTTAATTATTGCTAGTTGAAATGTTTTATTATCTAACGACTAACTAACTAAAACGTAACGGCAAAATCCACTGAATTCTTCAATTTTCTGTGCAACATACTGTGTGTTGTATTAATGAGATTTTCTCTCTAAACAGAACTCGAAAACTTCATTCTTGATTGGATTTTTTTAAAAAGAAATGATTATCATATCCGCTTCTATCCATCTGCAATATCGGATGAAAACGAGATTATCTCTTTGTGGTCCTCATTCCGATTCAAAACGGAAACGGGAATAGATTCGCGAGGAGACAGAGAAAAAATGCCTG